ACCAGTTTGCTGGAGTCCGCTACCTCTCAAACACGCATGTTAGTCCTCTGAAAACCTCACCATCAATGGGCAGGCTGCTTGAAGTCCTGGATGCAGAAGTCCACCACGCGGTTGTCGAAGTCCTCACCACCCAGGTGGGTGTCGCCCGCCGTGGCCTTATCAAGCTTGGGGCTCTGCCTCTTTCCCGCAAGACAGAAAAGTAAAAGCGCCACAAAAGTTTTGAACGCGTGCAAACACGAAATCCCCGCGCAAGCCCTGAACGCACCATGCTGCATGCATGGCCCCTTCTGCATTAGCCGAGAACTCCCTTTTCAATTATGTATCCTATCATGAACCCCTGTCATGCTCTAAAGATCTAAAGATTGGCACGGTGCCCTTCTGCAAAGCGCAAGACAGTGCAAGACTCCTAGTTGTCACACTGGCGGCCTTCACCTCGAAGATACCATCCTCGATGGTCAGCAGGGAGACATCGAAGGTGCCTCCTCCCATATCCTCTGGTCAAAAAAGACTGATTGCGAGTCGGTCCACAGACTTATTGGATATGGTCAAAGATGGCAAGAATTGAAAGGTTACGTGGGCCTACAGTAAGGGCTTTTACACGCGCTCAGATTGCTGTTTTGTATTCTGGCTTGCGCCAACCTAACAATTTCCAAAGAGGGAACATGGGCCAAACTCTACTGCCCAGTGTCGTAGATGAGAACGTTACGCTCTCCGGAACCTTTCCTCGGTTGATTGCTTGCGCTGTCAACTAACACCAGTCAAAAGAAAGGCAAATACATGCTTGAAACGCAAAGATGCACGGCTGCTGAGCAGCATACTGCAAACAGATGCATGGCTGATACAGCTTGGAATTGTATTTAAAACCGAGCTGCTTGTCGAGGCCGTACGCCTGAGATTTGTCTTTGGGAGAAAACTCAAGTATTCCAGATATTTGTGCCACAATTTGAATGCATCCTGCTAGCACTTTGACTCGTGTGGTGGAACTCTTAGGTCGATCTGGAGATCCTGGGCTCCGTAGAGCAACCTGCACGACAACAGGACAACTATGTGACAAGGTTGCAATGGCCGCTGCGGTCGGCTCGTTGATGATTCGGAGCACGTTCATGCCGGAGATGGTTCCTGCTTTAGACTGCGCTTGAATTGCACAAAGTCCTTGCATGCCGCTTGACAACGAACATCGGTTCGTGAATAAACCGAGCTTTGGGAAAACAAAATCAAGTACATGCGCCATGCCCATTGACACATTGCATGACTGCCAGAGCACTCGAACAGGTGATCTGCCGCTCAACCCTCGTGCCTGCATCCTTGGTGGCCTGCCGCTGCGAGTCGTTGAAGTATGCGGGCACCTTGACAAGAAACCCACTGGATGTGTACTGTAGGTGGCAAAGCACCTTGCTTCGAACATCACTCCAACATGTGTTTCAGTATGCCTGTCATGCTTCACTCTTGGCACCCCTCAGCTTCACATGACTCGGATGCTCACTCTTAAAAACTTCCACTTCTAAATAAATTCTGGGTCGGGCACTGTAAGGACGCTCTACGTTTGAACTCTGCAGTGACTGATGAGTTGACAAAAGGATG